AAAAATACAGAAAGCACAATAATAAGATCCACAAACTTCAACAGTTAAACTGTTATTGAAAAAAATACAAAAAGCACAATAATAAGATCCACAAACTTCAACAGTTAAACTGTTATTGAAAAAAATACAGAAAGCACAATAATAAGATCCACAAACTTCAACAGTTAAACTGTTATTGAGAAAAATACAGAAAGCACAATAATAAGATCCAACATCCAACTTGACGTCCACATATCTTTGTTTGTAGTGTGGACCACGACATTAGTAACATCAATCACGTTTCAGTGCTCAACTGACGTGATCATTCGGCCAAACCTAGTTTCTACCTGGTGCCATTTGCCCCTTTTTTGCCACATTGAACCCTGCATTTGAAGCTGTCATCAGAAGTGATTTTTCCAGTGCACAGATTATTCTGCACAAGTGGCATTCAGGTCATAAGAATAAAGTGATTGACCACCAAGTGATCCATGCCACTGGAAACAATCAGAGTAAACGGCTTGCATGGTGTTGTTAGGATGTAATGGGTATATCAGAATAATGAACCCTCAACATTTGAATTCCATATTGAAATAGAGCTTAATAAGGCAACAGCATGAAAAGAAAATAACTAAAAAACATGCGATGAGCTGACATTTATGACATCCTGTACAGTGTAACTTAATGTGCACATTGAAAACATAAGCAATGTATGTGATGCTAAAGCTCCACAGTTGTGCTGTAAAATTATTATAATTATGATCTTGTATACTATCAAACAAAAAATTGAAGGCTGATAAAAAGTTTAATCTTTTGTTAACAACCAGAAGAATTTATTCTATCAAAATATACAATTTACAGTTGAGCTGGCCCAAGGATACTAGCTATGCTAGTCTGGGTGGGCCAGTCTATTGATAGTTGCATTGCTTTAATCATTATTATTACTCTAACTACTATAATTATTTATTACTATGATAAAATAAAAAGTGGGAAAAGAATGAGAAAACTAAGGGGTAATACGATTTAATAAATAATATTTAGGTGCTGCTACTTAACTGACATTTTAATTAAGAAATGATCTTGTGAACCTTAATGAAGGAATCTTTGTCTTCGCGAAAACTTTGTAGTTTGTTTTTAATTCTAAGTTTGAATGATTTCTCTGGTGGCTCTCTCAGAGAGCTTGGTATCTCATTCCATAGTTTAGCACCAATTCTTAAAAAGGCGTTTCGTTTTGTATTTCACGTCTTGAGGCTTTTAAGTGAAAATGATGTGAAGTAGAAGAACGTGTGTTGTAAGAATGGACACTGGACGTTTTCGTAAATAAATTACGTATGTTAATTGGGGCAGAAGCAATGCTAACATCGTGCATCAATTCAGATAAAGTTTGATAGAATAAGAAGTTTAGAGGCAAAATCTTAGCATTAATAAATAGTGGAACGGTATGTTCATTTTTCTTTGCAAAGCACATGAAACATAATACACGTCTTTGCAATAATTTATTAAGATTCTATTTAGGTAAGACATATAGGCCTGACCCCAGACAGATAATCCGTAAGTGATAGAAGGAGGGATTACAGACTGATAAATATTTAATAGGGTTTGAAGAGGTACAAAGTGTCTTAATTTTCCAATAGGTTAAATAGTAGAAAGCTGATAAGGAATATATGTAGTGGGAGGCCAGGCTATCATGGAGGCCATGCTGTTTTGTCAGATTAGTCAGTAAAGCCTGGGGAACTATTCCAAAGCATTTTTCCAAGTGTGCCACAAAGTTCATCCAAACCTCACACAAACCTTCAGGCAAATTCTTTACACTCTATATGAAATCAATTGGCACATCACATGAGCTAAAAGTGACCACCTGAAGATGGCACACTAGACACCTGTTTAGGCCCCCTACCAGCTGTTACAAAAAACAACAGTGCTGAAAAACATCACATGCATCAACATGTACTACAAAATCTTATTAACACCTTAGACTTTCGAGTCTTTCTCTTAAGATGCCCCAGTATCCAGTTTCTCGACATTGCATTTATGTCTGCTATACTACTACAGTGCACCGAACTCCACGACAGTATCACCGAATATGGCATTGGCACCCCAAAGTTTCATTTCTGAGACTATTATTAATAAGAACTTGGAGAAAAGTCCACCTTAAAGCACTGGATATGTGCCCATACATTTTCAACTCTTGTTTACTATTTTCAGTTGATATGGACATTCAGTAGCATCAATTTATGGTGTGGCTTGCACAAAGTGTGTAGCCACATTATGGCACGATCTGATTTATTTATTTATTTGTCCACGAGAGTCAAGTGCCTGGTCTAGTGTCGTATGGCGCACTAGTCTGAGTCAGCCATCTTGGTTGTATGCGTGGTCTCGAGTAATTTTTTCTGGTGATCATATCACGAGTTAGTGCTCCTCACACAACCAACACACCCAGACCTGGCTTGGGTTATAACTGCAGCTTGTGCAAGAGCTTTTACGCTCTTAAAAGACAACATTTAACTGCTTGAATCTTCAGTGCGGGTTGTACTACACTGAAAAGAGTCATTGCAATCTTGCAAGCCAACGACTGTCGGTTTGATCTATCAGTGCGGGTTGCACCACCAAGCGTCTGAAAGTATTTGAAAGTGCCTGAAGCTTCCTGAAAGTGCCATAATGTGAAATACATTGTATTGTAGTTGCATTCTCCTTGCACTGTTGAGAATTCATAGAGGCATACCGATATTTTAAAACAACAAAAGAAAGTATGGGAATCTCAATTGAACATTACCAGTCAAGGATTGGCTCTTATCACAATTTCGTGAAGACATAGGATATCTTAGCACATTTTACAGATCATTTTTGAATGTTTAATGCTTATGACATTCTATTTAAATGTATTTTACTTGCCAGTATTGAAACAAGTTGTTGGACAACACAAAATGTGGAATGATGTGATGTTTTGGTTTTCACGTATTATTTTCTACAAAGCCTATATTCCATTGCCTATAGGAGCTTAGTAGTTTAATGTTACAGCTGAAATATGATTAGTATTATGTTTTCCAAGTAATGCCCAGAGTTATTCAGACCTTAACATTTCATGACTTCTGGTAAGCTTGGAAGTCTTCCAAATTCTCTTCAAATGGTTCAGATAAGCATTGAAATTTAAACTTGGTAGCAATACATGTGTATTAGGCCTTTATTTGGTATACTACAACTCTTTTTTTAGTTGCTTGTTTGGTTTTGGTTAATTCATCACAATACTGATATAAATGAAAAATTACACTCTTGATTGGCTGAAAACAACTAGGTGCCTTTTTCATGTATCACTAGTGCAAGAGTAATAACTCAAGTACAAATGTAAACTGTTGGTAGGCTCAGCAACAATAAATCACACTAGAGACCAATCAGAATTACACAAAGTAGGTTGTACTGATTGATACACATAGTAGCTGACCAAAATAAACAAAAGCTTGGATATTTTTATGCATATTGATAAACACTAACAAAATTGTGAAAGTGTAGTGTGATCATCCAGGCGAGTGTAGTCCTGAGAGGGAATGTTGTCAGTGGTGGTGACTGACGCTTCGACAATCTTTGCGGACGTCATCATCAGAGTCAAGTGAATAGTTGTTGTCAGTCACTACTGACAACAACTATTCACTTGACTCTGACAATGACCTCTGCAAAGGTTGTTGAAACATCAGACATCACCACCGACAACAGTCCATCTCAGAATTACACTCAGCTGAATGATCACACTACACTTTCACATGTTACCCCCCAGGTTCAAACCATTTTCTGCACTAGTTAACAAAATTGCATCCCTGAGTAAGATTTCAGCTGAAGGACAAATTTTGATAGCATGTCACATTGACCATTTACATGATGATGTCAAGTTCACCTATTCATTTCATGTGTCCACATAGCTTGAATTTGGGAAACACACTGGCATGAAATAATGATATCAATAATAAGAAAACTTGAAAGATTCTGGTACTTTAAATCATATGATACCATCATATGCTTGCATGTACATTGAACTCTGTTGTGTTTACATGTAAGTTATGTCTCTGACTATTGTTCCTGAAATCTATTATGGTGACACTATCTCAATTAAAGTTTCTGTTCAATAAAACCTCTAGATCAAATGTAAATCTTGTTGGGTTAAAAATTATTAGCAATGTTAAAGTACCCGGTAATGTTACTTCAGAGTACTGCTTGATATATGATTCATAAAAATATTGCTTGAGTTCTGATTTTGTTAGGCACCTATCTTTTTCCCCAAAATTCTTCCATTTACAACCTCCTATCCACCTACCTCAGCTAAATTTTTCTGTGTTCTTTATTGAAAATACAGTCCCACAAAACCCAAAAACAATAATTATTATAGTAAATGATTTGCTCTCAACCAACTTAGAATAGAACTTTGTGCCCTAATGGACAATAGAACCATACACTCAGCATTGTGTCACTTTACATGTATGTTTTGTCCAAAATTAGTCATACATTCAAACCAAATCAAGCTCCCAACAGCTTCTAGTGTATATTACATCATTTTCTGAATGTCCTGGCCCTTCTGGAAAGTTTTTGTCCTTGTGTACTGGTAAACAAAATGTGAAAAATATTCCTATGAAATGCTTCCCTAGAGTTAATTTCACATCACTTGCCTTGGAAAAGACAGTCAACCTACAAACTTCAAAACTCAATTCCACTTTTTTAAGTAAACAAAATCATGACTGAATCTATCAGGCCACCATGGGAAATGATGCTGACGTCTTTTTTAGTTCATAAAATCCTCAGGTTACATGTGCATCCTTGGGGTGTTTTTTGTCAAAATGAGACCTCCATTACAAAGTTTGGCCATTAACCCTTACCTTGAAAATGAACATTTCAGGACTATTGTATGCTAGTTATCTTGTTTTATCGATGAACAGGAACACTACTAAAAACTATCTAACTGTAATCAGATATTAGCTCTTCTAATTGAAACTCAAGAAGACACCAGACATTAAAAAGCAGCTCAATTTCGTAAGCCACACATGTACACATTGCAGACCTATTTTTGTGCAATGCAAGGAAAAGACAAAGGCACACCTTTGGAGTTAAAATAGTCCTCTGGAAATGTATTGAATATACCAAGATGCACTGCTACACTGTGTGACCATATGATTTTACTGAAAGTGACCTTTACTTCCCTTGAATAATCTTTGCCAACACCATATAATTACTCTGTTTAACTACAACTGAACCTGTATGATATTGTCACCTACCAAGAATGGCGGGGTGACCACTAAACATAATACACAAAATCAGGGTGTTATAAAAATACAATGTATTTACTCTTTTATAAGTGAACACCCTATTTTCAAGGTCAAAAATTGAATTTTCATCATTCCTTGTTAAAGAGGTCAAATTCAGACAGATAGAAATTTCCAAAGAGTTCATCTGTTATTTCTGAGAATACATTGGAAACACGGCGAATCAATAAAACTGCAGAGCAAAATATCTCTGCAAAAACATCTATTAACTGAAGATCAGCTAATGCATAACCACAGGTCACTGCTTTCTATGTCTGGATTCACAATACAACCGATGCGTCTGATGAGTGACCATTCCTGGTTGCTTTGGTATTGATTTGTTGTGCTTGTCATAGAAGAGACACAAGTGTGCTTGTATGTTATAAAATGGTCCTATTTTGAGGAATTTCCAAAATTTAAAGTGGAGACTTAAAACTCCTTGTAAATTTTAATCAAGAAAGGTTTTGAGTGTGAACAATTCTCTCTGTGAACAGTAACATATCTTTTATGCTGCCTGTTCGCACTTCATCTAAGAGTTGTTTACCCCAATTACAGCAGTAGATATTGACTATAGGTTTGTTGAAGTCATTAGCTTCCAAAACCATATCAGCCATTTTCAGTTTTTAATGACCCTACATCTTAGTGTCTTTCAGGAATACAGCATCTTCAGTATTGGAGAACTGTTTTACTCCCTTGTCCCATCAAATAAAACCCTTACGAAATTTGGATCTATTCTAATTTTGTGATAAAAATTTCAGCATGAACATGGACTTAATTATTATTGATGTTTTGGCACAGATACCTAATCAAAGAACCATTTCTGCACTTATGTACAGAAATTCCGTATCCTAAAAGTAATTACTGTGGTTATCGAACAAATATGGAATAAAATTTCCATCAGCGTAAACCTGGTCTTCAAATACTATTACGAGCAAAAAACAATACGATGTATCATAAATTTGACAGGGGTAACATCGCTAAAAGAGCTGCCTTGAATAAGTTAATGGTAAATCCGTTAGATGTACAGATACAGGGGAAGGAAAAACGAAAAACTCAATTTAATGAGACAGCTGATAAAATCTCTGAACCATCTTCACCGAGAGCTACTAAATGCAGAAACAAAGGAGTTGTCGTAACTGCCCTTGTTCAAATCTTTTCACGCCCAAATGCAAATTTCGGGATGGATCTCTCGTGACACGAAAGCATACCACTGAGAAGTGAACTGAACTTAAATAAAACTAATATTTACTAAAAGTGTAGTGTCGAATAAATAAAGTAGCCTTTCCGTAGAGGGAAATCAGTAAGTTTAATGACAGAGGGTAAGGTAATTCACTCACCAAAGATCCCTCGCTTGTATAAATTTAACATTTCCAGTCAACTTTTTTTTTTTAATATGAAGAGAATCTTCCTTCGCATTTATTCGCCAAGTAATCAACTTGGAGAGGAAACCACCATTTGAAAACCGAAACGTCGTTAAACGTTTAGCGATTGCGAATGGCGATTGCGAATGACGATTGCACTGATCAACGTGTCCATTGAGCCATGTATACTTCAAAGGGCAGTGACACAGTGTCTAGAACACTTCATTCATTGGCTATAATCCGATAATGCCGTGATGGAACCAAGTCAAATATAAGGAAATTTGAAATTTAATCACCATGAAACATTCATAGGTTTCTCTTTGCTGCATAATAAGAAAAGAAATACATAAAAGAAACGCGCAATTGATTTTTAACGAAGACTACGCTCCTACACGGCGTTTTTTTCCACACACCCTCGCCATCGCTTTCACTTGACCTTCCTTGATTTCGACACGGTAGAACGTAAAATTCAATTTTTTTTATTTTATCCGCCGTAAACAATCACAAAAAAACCTCAGATATGCATTCTGTATGGAAATTACACGACAACGAAACACTCAACGATGCTATTCGAGAATCAAACTTACCAAATCGTTGTCGAGATTGCCATAGCCATTCATGTATCCATTCGGGCAAACGTTACGTCCCTGAAAGCTACTTCTGTAAGAACCTTGCGACGTTCCTTGATTTACTGAATCTTTGCTCTGTAAGCTCAGTAACTGCTGTTGGGCGACTATTTCGGCCGCTGTCATTGTTTCGCGTTCGTCTTCTTCATCCAGCAGTTGTTCAATACATGCGCGAATGAACTCTTCTTCGTTGAGTTGTTCGTTCACTTCGCGATCAAAATCGTCCATGTTCTCCATCCACAAATACTCAGCAAAGGGATCTTGCTTGTTTGGGTGTGTATTTTCCATATCCAAGAATGAGAGATATACAGGTAGTTATATCGAGCACAAGAAACTCAACTTCCGAAATACACCGACGTAACTAAGTTCGGTCACCTGCGTCAGAGCCAATCAGAAGGCTCCTCGCTGACAGGCTGGCATAACATAACACGTAAATACGGCGCTTGGCTTATTTATGATGCAAGCTTCAGAAAGACAGGAAGAAACGACAACGCAGCAGATAATTCCTGCCATATTTGCAAAAAAAAATAAAAAAATAACAATTGCACAAGAGCTTCCAGCTTACAAGTTAAGAACATGTTTGGGTTATTCATGAACAGTCTTTTAAAATTTCCATACGTGAGTAAGAGCGCACAGGCCGTCTGTTGTACCGACCGGAAGTTAATAATCTGCATTTTCATAATGTGACTTCCGCTGGCCTTACCACACCTTTCAGGTCATAGAGTTGCAAGAGTCTAAAATTAGTTTGGCTGAAAAGATCAACCAGAATTGTATTGAACATCAATAAATGGCCTTTCAACGGACCTCATTGTTTGGACTTGCAGCCAATTTTTCACAATTTTCAGAACAAAATCTATGAGGTTTATGAATAACGCTATGAAAATGTATATCTAAATTACATCTCGGTCCGAATATCTCAATAAAATGTTAGCTGACGCATTTATGGTATTTTTTCGCCTTCATGGGCCGTTTCAAACGTCTTTTTATCATCGCTCACTTACTCATTTCGACGACAAGTGTGGGTTCACCTCCCATACAAAAACCAACGTAACATCAATCGACCGGGCTTCTTCAGTCTGCTATGGTCTGCTCTTTCATCGCCATTTAAATTAAGCGCCCAACTCTTAGCCTACCACGTGATTTTATCGATGAAAATAGTTTTTTATGGAATGAAAATATTGAATGAAAATATTTTTCATCGCATGAAAATATCTTTTATCGATTAAAAAATTTTTTTTTTATTAAATTTTTCTGCATTTCGGCAGCTGGCGTACTTATAACATCAATATATAGAATAGCTGCTACCCACCAGAAAAAAATCAACTTGGTTGATTATCCAAAGAGTTTCAGTTAGAGCGGACGTTTCAAGCGTTAGCCATTCGTCAGAACAAAAGAAGTTATTTGTAGAAAGATACCTTGTCCCTTCCGCCATGAAGAGCCAAGCGATAAAAACCTTCAGGGAGAAAGGAAAAGAGCAAGCTAAATAAAAGAAATGAGCATTCGAGCAGTAAGCAACGCCGCCAATATGAAATGATTTTATGACAGCGTAACTTTAGTGAACCGTGGAAAACTTTATTTAATGTAAAACCGCATCAATGGAAACTCATGGGCAATTAAGTGGGCGAGAGGAAATTAGTTAGTTCGATGCGAAAGTTTCCTTCTGGCCGCTAAGAGAGGGCGTGCAACCGCCCCGCAATTGAATCAGTTCCTGTCGCCTGTTCATCTGCCATTGCATTTCATGAATGGCAAAGCCGAAACGAGTAGCGATTATTTCAAGCTCTTTTCATTGGATTGTTACATAGCAGGCAGTGCCCACGGGAAATATGAAGCGAATCCTGTGTTCTGATCGGTTACCCGACCAGGCAAGAAGAAAGGGGAGGAAGAGGGCGGTAAGTTTCTAAAGAAACTGTTGTACTGCGTCGGTGGGGGTAACAGGGTAATTTGGTAATATCAACTGAGTTGAAATTGTAAATTGGCCACCGCAAAGAGTTAAAAAGCTGACGTTTCGAGCGTTAGCCCTTCGTCTGGAGCGAAGGGGTAATCTTGCCAGCTCGGGATTGCCCGCTTTGATCCCGCTCTAGAAAAAAAGTGCATGGAGCGGCGATGAAGTTCAAAAAAAGGCAGATTGAGGACAGCTAGTCAATTTAAAGAAAAAGTAAAACATTTCTAGTGGGTTTACTGTACTACAAACGCAGTTGGCTTTCATTCCTGGCTATCAAAATAAACAAGTCATTCTTGATTTAAATGAAAGCGAAATATTATGCTAAAGAGACCTGTTGGAAAAAAAAATAAATACAAACGAACCTGTACAAAGCAGCTCCGTACTAGGTTAAGCAGTAGGCCCTTAGATCAATTGTTTACCATGACTTTTTGCATGATTCGGAAAACTGCATAATTTTTGCCCCTTTTTTAAAAGCAGCACTCCCAGCATAATCAACGCATCCGTTAGTTTTGTTGAAGCTAAGTACCATATCTATATTTTGTAACATGTGGTCATTGCTTGTTTGGCCTCAGATTGATTACGTACTTTGAATTCGGTTCATGGTTCAGTTTAGTTTCAATTTGGCAAAGTCGGGAGGGGGAGGAGATTACCGCATTACTAGGCTGGGTCTTTTGCTGTCTAAAGACCCCCTCTCTAAAGGACTGAGCACACCAAAAGTAAAGCTGATTGCGTCGGTCTCTGTTCTCTCTTTTACAGGCAAAAAAATGGCATCGAACTGGGAAACGTGATGCTAACATCTTACATTCTGACCCATAACTCACCGCTTCTAGTCTAGGATTAGTGCCTAGGTAAATTATGTTTCGTCAGAGCAAATAGGTAACTCAAAATAAAGATAACAATCAATATCAAACTTGGACTTGTTTTGTATTTCCTTTTGAAAAGCATTCTTATAGAAAAAGCGGCATAATTTTCAAAAGCGAGCATAATTTTGAGCATAATTTGGAAAAAAAAAGTGGTAATGGTAATACCCTATTATGCTGCTTTTACGAGCACATTCTAAACAATCAACCTGTATTAAGCAGTCGGTTTTCAAAGTCCCACAATTTTTCCCCTAATTATTCTAATTTATCCTTTTACACCCATATTTAGCGATAGTGGTCATTTTTTTTTAGTGGTCATTTTTGTTAAAGAGCAATTGATGATCGTAATATTGTCGGGATCCTATCCACCGACATGTCAAAGGCCTTCGCCGGACTCGTTACATCCTCCGTTGCTCTTGAGAAAGCTGGACGCATATGGCTTCTCAACGTCATCCGTCAGCTTAATAAGGTCTTACTTCACTGGAAGAAAATACAGAGTGAAAATTGGCACAGAGGTAACAAGTGAATGGAAATTTAAAGGGTTGTCTTCAAGGCTCAACATTTGGCCCTTTATTTTGGAACATGTTTCAAAATGATCTTAAAATTTGCAAATGAACACAACTTAACGATGTATGCTGATGACCATCAGTTGTATGCAGCAGGCCAGACGGTGAATGAAGTAGAAGATACTTTAAATAAAGAAGGAGAAACCGCCATATCTACGAGTCAAATTTACTGAAAGGTAACTATGAAAAGTATCAAATCATGTGCATGGGGCCAAAGGATAAAAGCAAAGATTTGGAGATAACGGTGGCAAGTGTAAAAAAAAGTGCGGTTCTGACGTTAGACTACTGGGGCTAACAATAGACCAAAACCTGGACTTCAGTAAACATAGCAGTGAAGTATGCAAAGGAGCAGGAAGGAAAGTAGGTGTTCTAACAAGACTACGAAATAAACTATCCACCAGAGCCAAACTTATTACATACAAGTCTGCCATACTGCCTCAGCTGACGTACTGCCATATCGTCTGGAATTTTTGCCGCTCGTCGAACAACAAGAAACTGGAGCGAATTCAAGAAAGAGCTTTGAGAGCAATTTACCATAGGAAATCTGGAACCTATACACCACTTTCATAAATGGCTGCGGGATTGATATTCTTTTGTTTAAATTCAAGTTAGCCTCACTAGCCTCGCTTGAGATAATGTGTTCTTTTGAATTTTGAACTGGAGAACGAGGCCAGAAAGGCCAATTTAAATTTAAGCAAAAGAATATTAATCCGGCAGCCATTTATGAAAGTGGTCAATGACGAGTTACTAAAGTTGGCTAAGCTACCCACGTTAAGAAACAGGTGATTACAAGACATTGCTATTCTTATGTACAAAGTAAAGAATGAACTTTGTCCTTCATACATTAAAGAAATATTCCAAAACGATAACATCAACCGTTATAGCTTAAGAAACTCAGATTTTGTTATACCAAGATTCAATACCGTGACGTACGGAAAACATAACTTACGATATCTGGGTCCACTTCTCTGGTCAAGATTAGAAACGAAAGTCAGAAACTCAGAATCTTTAAATACGTTTAAAACGAAAATCCGAAAATTAGACCTAGTTGGAATGATGGAAGATAATTGTAAAAATTGTACACTATGCAGTAAATTAAGCATCTTACAGTGAGGGACTTATAAGATTTAGGATTGTAATCATAATTCTTAACTTTTAATACACTATTAGTTAGGTGTCCACAATTAGTTTACGTAAATGTAAGCTAGATCTACCCGACACGTTAATAAAGTTTTTATCTTATCGGATCTTTACCGAGTCTAGCTCTCGGCGGTCTGTTTGTATTGTCTTCCACCTTTATTGAACGGTCGCCAATCGCGGAATTACTCTTAGCCTAATAAAACTAAGAAAAATCTTTTTCCATGTTATCTCCCTTATACAAGCATAAGTAAAGTGGAGCGAAACAGCAAAAAGCGCGATGGTAGCCGCACCCCTCTTGGGGTAAAGAGAAGAGACTGCTGAAATTGAGACTATAAACTTTAGGGACTTTAAGAAACCACAGGGCGACGCCAAGGAAGACTTCGATTAAAAAATTTAATTTCTACTCTTGGTTAGAATTTCAAAAATGGCTGCTGGAGCTTACTGTCTCATACAGCGCCACAGCTCAACTTCAACATGACGTATAAAGTAGCCGCTGAGTTCCAAATGGAAGTTAAAATAATTTGCCGTCGCGGTTTCGGTTCGCAGACGACGCAAATTTTGGCCATTTCACGTTGTTGTTTTGCATAGGACGGCTAAGAAATGTACAAAGTTTCAAAACGCACGTGCTGAGCTATTGTTCTGCCAATAAGATCTCATGTTTTTCCACGTCCTCGTTGCCGTCGCCGTCGTGGTTTCTTAAGGTCCCTTTTATTAATACGTAAACCGCAAATCGCAAACAGTTTCAAAACGGCGAAAACTGAAGAAAATGAATTTAAAAAATAATAAAATAAACATAAAGAATAACTAAATGAACATCTGGGCGAAATTTCTCTCACATTCTGTGCGAACCGAAGTAAAAAAAAAAAAAAAGACCTCCACAAAACAACGACTGCACACCGGCAAAACAAGTGTGAGAAAACTGAAGGCTTTTTTGTCACGTGACTAAGTGTGCTACTATGTACGGGGTCACGAGGCGTCAAACGCAGAGGAGAGATAAGATAAAAAAAAATAAATACAACAATATAAAGGAAAACAAAGAAACAAGCTCACATCCTATTTTTGACTAAACAGTACATCTGCTCTTAAAACTTCTGTCTACTCAAATACTTCTGCAATGGCTTTGACGGTATTGGATATTCACTTCAGAAAAACACTTAATCTAGAACCACACAAATTCAATAAAAAGATAACAGAAACTTCACTTAATATTGCACCTTTGATTCCCCAGATCTGATTGTCAATTCTCCCCCGTGTCTGCTACACATTTCCATTTAAACTAATTCAGAGAACTCAGAGTAGAGGTAGATCATAGCAACAACTTCTACCTAATTAGTTGGAGTATTCTCATTACCTGTTTGCCGGCTAATCTATGGTTATTAAAGGGAGGAGTTAAATGTTAATAATCACTTCTGAGAGTTATAAGGTTATGTCAGTGTTCACAGATGCCATTCAATTACAATACCATTTCACATGCATGCCAATGTGTGCTTCATACTCAGACAAAAAGGCAATAAATAATTATCATGTGAAGTCAGTCGGATAACATCAAAAAAAAATAATACCCAAGAAAAAGCACCACCAAGTATTAAGAAATTGTCACTCAAATTTGGTAGCTGAATACCTCTTCTATTTTTGGTTGAAGATGAATGGTATGCAGATCTAATAACTACAGTTAAATAACAACATATAAGTACAAATCAAAAATGAAGTTTACCAGCAGGAGGTAAAATTTCTGATATTTCTATACCCTCCATAGTTGTTCATGAAAACCACCATCCACAGGACAATTCAGCTATAATTGTCAATACCAGAAACATGCACAACTAATTAAAAATACCTTCAAAATAGCGTGATGGCCTAATTTTTTTTTCTCAGTTTATTCGAATTAAAATAATTTCGAATTGGTCTTACTTTTGAAGTTCCCTTTTTTCTTTGACTTATATCTTAGACTAGGTTTACACTAGAGGAAATTGTTCCGGATTCGTGATGAATCCGAAACGTTTTAGTACCGGATTGATTTTGCCGTTTACACGGAAGTGGACGAATCCGAAATAAAAACTCCCCGGTTTGGTCGTGTCTCCGTAGATTTTGAATCCGGAAGTTAAAGTGGGAACTTTGAATCCGATAACTTTTGAATCCGGAAAGTTTTGTCGTGTAACCGCTTTTTTTTCTCGAATCCTGATATTATTTCCGCCTGCAA